AAACGAATTTCGACACTGCCTTTCTTTTAAGGCTTCATCTCCATATACGGCACATAACTTCTTTTGTGCTTGCGATGCGTTCTTGCCTTTTCGGAAGTAATACAATAAAATGTGTCGGAAGTGCACGTCCTGTTCTTTCATTTTTCAATTGGGATAAAAACAAAATTAAAGAACTAAACAAAAAAATTTTCTTACTAATTAACCTAGAAGCCCATACAGTAAGAAAAAAATATAGGTTAGATGCTCTGGCCACGTTAACAAAACAAAAGAAAGTATAGAGTGAATCTGTCAACAAAAACGGCAACGACTTAGTTTCCAACCCAATAATTGGTAATCATTAGCCATCTCAGTGTTCAATTTTATTTCACCCCTTGTGTGAACACAGAAAGGTACCTTCATATAATATTTTTGCTTAAAACTGATAACAGCAGAATATTACGGATAACAACCTACAAAACATTCAATAGTTCGCAGAGAGTGTTAAAAGTGTTCTTGCTATTGCTTGCAATGGTCTCTGATTTTCCATTACTTGAAAACATACGACGAAAACTTCACATTGAATTTGAATCTATCACCACAAGTTAAAAGAACATTAAAAGGTTAAACCATGGAACTGCATTCTTTAGTTAGAAGTAGATTCGTTGTATCTAGGAAATCTTTGGCCAATCCCTTCGATATTTTTGTCTTTTTTTTTCAGACCATACTTTAGGCGTCCTTTTAATTGATTAATGTAGGATACTGCCCTGAAACTTTTGTAATATAGTTTGCATGAGTTCTGAAGGAATAGCGGCACGAACGGCGTCTTCAGTAAAATTGTAGATCATTCTTTTGGTTTGATTTTGGTCATCCTGTACAAAGATATTCCATTGCCTTCTTTGCCATTGAATCATTTTCTGTCGCGTTTGGTATATGATTTTCAATTATTGGATGTTCGCGTTCAGCATCAAGTAGTAGTCGTTCCACATCGCCCTCCATAGTTAAACTTACGACGGCATTTCTCTTATCAGCACGTTTCTGGTTGTGGTGGAGTCGGGAAGGCAGTCAGTTTTTCCGAATTCTGCTATGTTTTGATGTTATAGTAGTAACTGATAAATCCTAGAAATGAACGTTATGTGGCAAAATCCATAGGCACTATTTGCTATCAATATTGGCTGAAGTTACATTGCTAATGTAAATGCCAACCTGAACACATTTGTGATGGTAACACTCGGCTGTTCTACGAATTGTGCGGATTGGGATATTGATGCGAACATTTTATGTGTCATAATCGGTGAGAGCCGAATCGCCCTTGGGATTTGCCATTTTAACTCCTCTTATCAATTCTTGAAAATTGGCACCACAGTTTTCTTCAATTATTTTGACAGACAAGTTTATTGTTGCAGCTAAGGCTTCATTCGCAGTCAAGAGATAAAAATAACATATCTGAACTTTCCTCCGCTTAAGGTGTCGAAAATGAATTTATCACAATATGACATTTCACAACTCCTTCATCGTTCTTGATCATGTACTGAAGGAGGAATGGAATGAGGAGCGGTTCTTGCCCAACACCTCAGGAGTGATCAATTTCATCGAATTTCGTAGACAGGCCGACAATACCCAATAAGTGTAGATTTAATAGAATAAGGCGAATGAAGAGGGGGGGGGGAGAGAGAGAGCATATATGGTAAAGAATCCAGAAGGTTGGAACTTTTAAATTTAGTTCCAAGATTCCCTACTTCTGTATACAGACCCTTTCGCGATTCATCCGAAAGTAGACTCTTCTTTTTGGTGACTAGATATATCTTTTTTTCATTCCACAATTAGGCTCACTAATAGGTGCTTCTTTATCATTGCAGAACAAAATGTGTCTAGTCTGCTTGTGCTTGGCGATGTTTACTTGACGTTAGAGTTGAAACCGCAAATGGTGTTACAGATATATTGCTTAAATTATCTCAGAAGAACTTGCTTCAGATGGATTAGTTAATTGTTAATGCTTTGAGATTACCGTTATATCACTGAATACTTATTCCTTTGCAGTTGAATGAAAGCAAACTTCTAATGGGGGAGCGCATTGCGGTATGTTCGATTGTGAGGAAATCTAAACTTCCCCATAATCGATTGTGCTCTTTTGCTAATGCTTACATCTATTGATGTTTTGTTGTTCTGGTCTTAACTGATGTGGCCTGAAGTGAATCCGTATCACATGTTAATTATTAATAATAGCCCAATTAATAGTGTGCAATTTTTTTTTATATCCTGAGCTTTATAAAAACTTGAAGATGGGGAGATTACATAAAGTGGAATTTGCATCAACTTCGAAGTATACGTGAGTATATGCTTGTATTTTCTTAGACCCCTCAATATTTCATTGAAAGTTCTCCCCGGGTTTTGTGTAACGGTTCTTATCGGTTGTTCCATAAATCGGATCCATCATCGTATGCCCTAGTGTACTTTGTATTCTATACCACAGTGAGCAGAAGACTTATACGTTCGGTCTTGGTCTTCGGATCTTAACATTCTCTAATAGTACTTGTTTTGACCGGGGAAATGTGTTATGAGCTTTCTTTTCCAATAAAATTAACCTTTGGATGTTATCTCCGTTTCAAAGCACTTTCATTTTGATTTTCCAAATAGTGTATATTTCACAATTCTTTTTCTGCAGATTCAACCGCGGGTCCCTACTGAATATCGGAGTTAAGGAGTCGGACCTGATGGAAAATCATTATTTTGAATCGACCTTCTCTAAATGGACAATGCCCCTTCCATCCACACAGATGATAGCTCTCCACGATGTTGACCTTCTACCCGTATCAGACAGCTTGAACTACCAACATTTTGGCAAATTCCCCCACCATCTTATCCCCTATTGGATGCATCCTCAGTACTATAATTATCCAAAGTACATTGGAGGTGCTATGATAATCTCTCGACAATCGTTTAACCTCGTTAATGGATTTTCTGATCGATACTGGGGATGGGGTAGGGAGGACGATGAATTCGGCCTTCGATTGAAGGAGGCTAACCTAAATGTAAATTTTTCGACCAATACTACTAATTAGTATATAAGTAATTGCAAATGAAGCTGCTCTTTTTTTATCTCAGATATTATCTGATCGTAAGCCATTTACCGTAGCTTCCAAGTTTCAACACCTTCACTCCAAATTAAACAAACGCGAAAGGAGCCCTGCAGATCTACAAGTTGGTTAACACTTTTAGTTGACGATTTCTTTCCAAATAATTTAATCATGTTTCCATTTTTATAGGGAATTGTACGACGAGATCATACCTCAGGACTAAATACCACAAAATATACAGTCCTTTCTCGAATAAAATCCGAAATCGCGAATGTAATAGCATGGATAATCAATGTTAAACTAGAATGCGACGTCTTGATAACCCCTAATTGCCGTTCTGATTTGTAACACTACTGCTGCTTTCTATGAAATAATAAAATTCAAAACTGACTTTTATGATACAAAAATTAACGAATCTTTTAATATCGGCGGACATTTGAGGGATTGTTTTGAGTGGATCCTAAGAAATAGTTAATATTGAATCGATATGGGGAGACTTCAGGGAGAGAGAAATCGATAACGATATCACACTCGGATTGTGAGCTTCCCAATTCGGGCAGAAAGCTTTCAGATGTATTGATACAATCCAGGATGTAGAGGATTTCTCCCTTAGCTTGGGATGCTATCTTTGATCGGTAGCTATCGTCTAGAAAAAAATAAGAATGGGCAAAAATGGTTAACGCACCTGAAATATCGGGACTTGCTTCAATGTTAAATATCCATCTTTCCCATGATGCTGATTCCGAGCCGAGAACCCAACTGCCTTTTCGGTTAGTTACAAAAGCCAAAGTAATTGTCCCCTTCACGGTCTTATTCAATCCATCATCTGATTCATCACAAAGAGCCTTTGAAAACGATGCTATGTGTATGGCAATTCGTTCATGTAATCTCTCCGATGCTACTCTGACCTAGAGCAATGTATGTATCAAACAGTTTTGAATGAAATTTACTCACATATGTTAGGTCAAAATTTTTACAATCCACATCCTCAACGCCAATGTAGGACGTGTAACTGACAGCACCGTCCTTAAAGCTAAGCTGGAGAACATAAAGGAGAATGAATACATACGGTTGGAAATGTCCGATGCAATAATATTGTATGAAAGAAGGCTTGCAGTGTTTCCTCTATTACGTGTTTTCTTAAAACCTGAAAATAACTAAAGTACTAGAAATATTACTAGATTTATAGTGTAATCCTTGGGACACATTACCAATCGCGACGATCCTACTTGCACTAAAGGGCGTTTACCTTGAAATCAAAAATGAATGAAACATGTTGGGTTACGTAAACAAATAAAGCAATTATAGTATATTATTATGTCATAACTTTAACCCATAATATTAGTTGAAATAAAAAATATGTAAAAAGCCTTTTTAAGATTAGTTTTACCATTTTAAATTGAGTTTGAGAAGATAATATAATCTATCATTATCTTTTACTATTTTAAAGTGGAAGAAAGTTATTAATAACTCAGACTTTCTTAAATGAAATACGCTTATTAACTTTCTAGCATCGCAAGGGAAAGATCTAAGCTTTTATCACGTCACTGTACATTAAAATAAACGCGTACAGATTTTATAAAATTAATATTGTTCCATTTTTCAATACAAAAATGTATCATCATCATTAAAATATTAGTACTTGGTTTAGCATCAATTTGTTAAGAATGCTGTTGATCTCCTTAAATATTGCACATGTCCTCGCATGCCACAATATAGTAAAAATAATCAATTTGATCGAATATATCGGATTTTATTGCACATCCAACTTTCGAATGAGAGTTTATGCGGAGAGGAAACACTCTGAGACAAAATTTTACCTGAGATACTTTTGATTTGGTTCACACTACATCATTCAACAGAACTTTTCTGCTCATGCCACTATCTTACTCGATGTCCACCTGTTTATATTTGTTTGCTAGGGTGTGCGATAGACTTACCTCCACGTGGTGCACCTTGGGCAACGTATACTCATACGGCAAAAAAGTCTATTATCCGGCATTTGACTTCTGACTTCAAACTACCACGACCCCCCTGGCTGTCATATTCGACCCCTTCCACAGTACTCACCTCACCTTTTTCTCTACCTTTATATCTGTCTGCCTCTTTAACATCTGTGAATCGCTCTTCTGTTCCCCACCCCTCGACTTTCTGCTACTTTGATTAATCTTTCCTCTGTGAAGCCCGAAGTCAGCTAAATGGCTAATGATATCTATCAAAACGCCTGCCATTTGAAATAAATAAATGATGTCTGAACTACATCAATGGCTTACTTTGATCTCTCTCCACCTCCTTCCTCATTTTTTCAATGTTGATCCTATTTTTTTGTAGTTACCAGTTTTGAAAAAAAGTTGCTATTATGCAATGAACGAAATGCATTCATTCATTTTCAATCGATATCTTTTCTTTATTATTCACGCGCCAAATGTTTGGAGGATCTTAATAGGGTGAATACACCCCCCAGAACAACATAAGAAGATCTTCAAAGGCAAAATTTCACCCAATTTTCTAGCAATCTCCTTTATCTAACCTATTTGTAATAATAATCACCGAAAGCATTTGTTTGAATACATAAATAATGCATTTAATAGTACGTGGTGTATCCTCCTCTTATTCCCCCCTGCCTTATTCAAATCGTTACGCTTCCGGATTTCTCGCTACTTATTTTTGATAGGTGATGGTCTAATCAATAGACATTTTTCGGCTTGCAGACACTGGGATTAGTCACCGATCTAATACTCACCAACAAATACTCTCATTCGGGATTTCTCTAGTCTCTGCGGGCAAATTGGACACTAAGGAGGTTTCTATCGTTTAAAACCAATCCGTAAGCTAGGTCAACCTAGACACAAATAATATCATGTAATATCCACAAAACAGGAGAAAATTAGGTAGAAAAAGAATTATTGACTCTTTAAGGCTTGTATGACTAGCAAATGTTTTTAGCTAACGCCGTAATTTCAACTAACCAGTGGCTTGAACTCATTTTCTGAAGAGGGCTCAAATCAAATATGGAAATAGGTATGTTTATCTATTATGACCTCGTAAAATAAATGGATGAGAGCACAGTCAAAACTTCTGTGAGAATATTCAAGACGACCGGTGTATTGGAAATTACATAAATTCAGAAGTCGATTGTCGGAAGACAGAATTTAGAATTACATTTGGAAGTCAATGCAATAATGACATTATCGCGAAAAGACAAACATAATTAGGCAACGCCCAACAAGATATGCACATTGATAGGAACGCAATTATTGCAAAACAATTTATCAAATCTACAATAAGAATATTTTAATTCCAATCGCTGAGTGATTTTCAGGTTCACAACTCTCTCCTCCAATCATACTCACGTATTCGGGTAGCCAATTAGAAACTACAAATGTACCATTGAGGGACCAATTGCAATTGAGTAGTCTCGTCATGAACGAGCAATCGCGCGTTAGTACTTAATTCAAGAACCGAGACAGGGTTGGGCGATACGGCCGCACACATGCGTTCGTATTAGCCCTTGGGCTGCTATAGGTCGAGGCTGGCAAAGGGAGCAGGACTCAGGCAAAACACTAAGTCTCTGCTGCTAACAGGCTATAGTACTGCATTTGCTCCATTCCTCTCTTTCTTGCCTTAAAGTGTGTACGTCTTGCATTTCACTTTCAGTGACATTTTCTTGGAACCATTTTGAGGCGAACCGCTCGTCTAGTCAAAGAATGCAATAAGTCCCCTAATAGGGACAATATTCATATTCGCTAAAACTCAAACTCTCAAACAATGGCGAGCTTTATTGCAAAGCAGCTTATTGGAAATCAGCTGGATTCTGTGAAAGGTAAGTTGCACCCTAGTTGAGAGCACATTTTCCTCAATGACGTTTTTGTATCTTTACAATATTTCATGATGCAAGTCATTAGGGAAATTTAGATTAAAGCCCAAGGAGAGTGAAAATAATTAATTAAATTTATTAGAAGAATTCTTCAATATTTACAATTTTAAAATTGGAAATTCAGCTATTTAAGGAACGATAGTCTCCCTCGAATCATCAAATCATCCTAATTTAATTATTTATAAGGGATAACCAACTTTGGTACTTTTTCATAAATATATAATTGTAAGCAATCTCGTGGGATTGTTCAGTTTCCACCTACTTGTTAATTTCGAAAGAAAGCATATGAATATTGACTGAATGTAATCTCTAAAGTTTCTATATGGTGCATTAGTACTTATAGTGTGAAGCCAGATATTTGGTCATCTCAACGCAATTACATGTACTTTAATTAGTCTTTGTAGGTTCATTTATGGGCCATAGTAAAAATTCGATTTTCCAGTCCATTTTTATGAATATTCTAAAAATAAGTGTTGCCATTTGCAGGATTCTCAAGTCGATGAGCGTCAATACATTTCCATTGCGTATATTTGTTGAATGTACGCATTTGACCTAAACTATGTCTAATTCCAACTCTTTTTTACTCTTGTATGCTGACAATGATACTCACAACTTTGTGGGCATTCGGAAGTTCTTTATATGTGAACACAAGTTATTCAGTGATGTGTTCTGAAGCATTAATAAGCAATCCTTCATCAATACAACAGTGCAAATACCTAAAATTGACTGCTATTGTTGCCCCTCCCCCCCACCCACCCCACCCTCCTCTTTCGATTGAGGACAAACATTCTGAAACTTCTTCCAATGACAAACTTGCATTCTGGAGAAGTGCCGTTTTCCTATTGCACTGTTATTTTAGACAAATAGAGTAAATAAGCACTGACCAAATCTAACGATTGCATTCGTCTATTTAAGGCGCCTTGGGCGACAAAAAGGATGAAGGTGGTTCATCTGGAGCAAGAGAAATTGATCCAGAAGTGGAAGAAGCCCTTCGAGAAGCCGAGCAAAAACGTCAGGAGAAACACCGAAAAATGGAGGAAGAGCGTGAGGCCATGAGGCAAGATATTCGTGATAAGGTAAAATGGAATCGAAGTGATTGGCTGTATTTGTTAAACTTGCTCTCTAAGATAATCTGAATTGAAAGACGTTACTTTGTTGGGTGCAAAGCAATGAGTGACTAAAAATTAGATTAAAACTAGTTCCACACCCTATCTACTAGTCCTCATATATCGTAAGGCTTCGTTCAAGGTGAATCTCAGCTTTTTATAAAGACTGTCGTATGAGCTATTTTGGTACATTATCAATGTTGATAGATGAATTAATTTCCCACATGCGTTGTGTAAAAACAGATCTTCGTAAATCAAGTTCCAAACGCACATGAAGGCAAAATACCATGTTGATCCAAAAATTGGTAAGTTAAGGAGACAAGCTTGAGGCCCCTATCTTATTGTCTTAGCACCAGAAATCCGTGGAGATTTTACCTACAATACATTACTAAGGAGCACACAATCTGCCGGTATTAGTATCCTCCTTGGCATATCTCATCCCAATTAACTGCCAATCAATCGATTTATTTAATATGATATGATATGATCTGAATATGGCAAATATGTAATCTCTTTGCTTGGTGTTTTAAAATAAATACTAAGCAAATATCGTCAATTCTATTTGTCCACTAGAGGATGGGTCCAAAACATCAGAAGAAATTGTTCCACTTGGAGTGGTTTCAGGTAGATTTCCGCTACAGTGATCGTAACAACTGCTGATTTATCTTTATAATTTTAGTTGCTTAGTTAGTGATACGAGGGAATTAGGACAAATGCATTAAGTGAGGAGAAGATGATGTAGCGTCGGTGATAGTAAAATCTCCTTTGAAGTTCTTGTTTAACTATTTCTCACGCAAAAGGAAGTTGAAAATGGAGACTACGCTCCCTTTTTTACCGAAATAGTATTGGGGCGAACTCTGGATAAAAGTTGGTTCCACAGGCATGAATCAATGAATTTTCAAGGAATATTTAAACTTGTTTAATTTAAATGAAGTAAGTAACTATTTCAGTTTCATGAATCAAGTGCAACAATAGCAAAAGTTATGTGTGAGGTAAAATATATTAAGTTACCTTTTGTATATGTTGTTGCTTTCTTTAACGTATTGGTAAATACGTACATGTCAAATTTAGATAAGTTTAGTGATCCAACTAAAACTGATTAGATAAAACCAACAAGACAAATTCTTGGGGGCAAATGAAGGTCAGTTTGTCTCGTTTCAAGTACCTAAGAGTGAGTTGGCGTTTTTATCAATTCAGTCTACTTAATTACTAGAAATTATTTCAACGTATTCTTCCATGGATGACCAGTTCTCACCACGTTACAGAGCGACTTTTGAATTCTGAAAGGTCATAAAAAAGCCCAGACTTGGTGTACAGCTTTCTTCTTTGAAAAACTTGGCGCATAGATCACGAATTCGCCTTAAGCTAGCAGAGCTCATTGGCATTCGAGAGGTTTATATTACTCACACATTTTCTACTTTGAAATATGCGCTTCATAAACAGGCAATGGGTAGCAATTTCCAAAGGCGATAACTTATCAACCTGAAATCTCACAATCTTAATATGGAAAAATGTATTTTTGCTTTTGCAAGTCATCTCCAAATAATTAAGCTTTGGCAAAGCATAATATAAATCTTTTTTTCTTCCATATAAAATTATTCAATTTCAATTTGTTGTCACTTGTAAATTTAAGATTTAGCCTAATGGCCAGTTGTCTCATAATAATCGTTTTGAGTGAGACTAATTAGTTCTTCCATTTCTTCTAATTACCTTTGAGGTCAAATGTGTTTTTTACTTTGCCTTCAACTAATTGTGTACTTTTTAAAGTTGTCTTTTTTGCATTTATTTCTTTTAAATAAAACAAGATTTAAAGTAGGTTAAAAAGTAAACACTTTTGCATTTAGCGAAAAGTTACCCCTAGTATTCTAGAGTCGCATTTACTAATGGGATGGGCGTTAGTAAAGTGTTTGAAAAACTTTCATCAAAACAACTTGATCTTTCGTCTTCTATTGCTAAAGCCTGTCGGAAAAACACTTTTTGTGTTCCAAGGCTACTTCAACATAATAATGTTTCCAAGAATATTTATCTAACAATCATCTCTGTAACTACTAATTGTTAGATATTTAAAATTTTTGACTTGCTTCCAAATAGGTTTTCTTTGCAAGACTATATTCAAATTAAGATGTCTATCTTTGACTTTAAAGCAAAAGATTGAGCAAACTCAATTGACGGTCATTTTAAAACTACTTTTCCCCCCAAAGTTGTAGTTTGGTGATATTAAGAGGTTCTTTCATTGATAAGCAAATATCATCTCAGCGCGTAATTTTATTTTATTATTTTGTGCTTATGAGGCGAAATATGACTTGGAGAGTTTGATTTAAGTTGATATTATCTAAATTTCGCGCGACAAGACTTTCTCTTGATCAATTTTATCAATTTAAAGATGGGATTTGATCTCCGCTTGTGGCAGATCACTCTTCAAATTCCCAATTTTAGAAAGATCACATTTATTTTTTTTGGTTTTCTCTTTTCAGTATGGCATAAAGAAGAAGGAGGTGGAGGTGGACTTTGATGAGCTGATGTTGAACAACGAGGGTGGTCGTGTGGGTAGAAAGCGCAAAACTCCCGCAGAGTTGGCAGCGGAAGCCGACAGAGCCGCTGCGGATGAAGACTCCATCATCGGTGAGTTGCCGGTCTCTTACCTCCTTTAATTCCTAATTTTTGGAACTAATTGGTCGACCGAGCTTCATTTTCACTGGTTGAGGATTGTTCGCTCGAGCTGTTTTTTTTAAATAAAATTCGAGTCAAACATAGTGCTTTAGAATGCGAATAAGTATTTGCATGTGTTGTATTAAAGTCAATTCTATAACCACAAAGCGCCTCTAATTTTTACTCATATATTATATATTTAGAGTGTTGGAGAGGATTGGTAAAGCTATGCAACAAATCAGGATTTAGCAGTTGTAGCAGAACAGGAATTCACTTCAGTAGTATAGAGTGATCAAAGCTACTGTAAGTGAAAGGCCAAAATTCTTAGTGAATATACTGCTTTAATGAAGGGGGTGGAGTGGGATAAGGAGCACTACAGTGTACTTTGCTTTCACCTTTTGTCGTGAGATTAATTAAAAGTGGACTTTGGGGAAAAGTATTCGTAAGACACATGGTTCTCGTGTTCGTATATTAGTCTATACTACTTTCTACAAAATACTGGGATTTGAGAATAACATGGAGTTCAATTAATTACTTCTCTTTTAATTACTACTAGGGAAATGTACTCAAAATGATGACAAAGGGCGATGTAATTTCAACTTCATTTGCCAAAATTATAATGCAGGCTTGCTTTTTTAACATCAAAATTTTGCGCATTCTAGGTAAAAAATATTGTAAAAGCTGCACTAATTGGGCTTTTTTAGTTACTTTTTACATTTGTATAAACCTTTCAAAAATGAACCAGTTTATTATAAAATTATAGAATTGGTTGAAATTAGAAATGTAGTTGAGGTTTGCTAAAACTCGTCTCAATTCATTTTGTACTATTCCTGTTTCTGTTGTGACAGTAAAATAACTACTCCCAAATAGCAAAACAATAACAAAGTTATGAATACAGCTAATATTAAAACTATAGACCATATTCGGGGACCGAAATGATATTATAAATTTGCCTGAACAGAAAATGGATAAATAGTTTCCCACATTGTGACAAAATGCCCCTTAGAAATGCTGAGATAGCTCAATCAGGGGTGTAGGGATAGAATTAAGGGTAGAGAGTCGAGTAATTGAAGAATTTTAATTGCAATTAAATCAGGCTGTTCCCATCCTATTCAGGAATTAATGGCCCGATGCATCACTGTTAGAATTGATTTCACTTAAGCATGAGTGCGTTTGTGTAAGGTACTTTCCCAATTTATTGGGCTCGTTGGATAGACTGAATGGTTGGTCACAATATCCCATTAGATTTGCATTTAACATGCGCTTTTCCTTGAGGTGAAGTGTAGTTTTTAAATAAAATAATATGGAACCTACTTCTTGGTTCACTCAAAGCAGTTAATGGTTTTGCGAACATATAACAATTTTGATGTATATTGATTCTGCAAAAGTTTCATTAACAAATGAGTAACCTTTAGCATTTAATTAGCTCCATTGTATTTTATTTTGTGTGATTTTTCTCGTGGATGTTGCAGCTAAAACCCTTGTTCGTTATATTTGGCTTCTATAACATTGGCCAATCACAGGTTTGCAAATAGCGCCTCCCTCTCCTAACTAAGATATCATCAATAAGAGTTTTAAAGTGAAAGGATTGAGTGGTTTGTGTTCATACCTGAATCACCTAAACACCAACCATAAGTGACCCAAGTTTGGTGTCTAAATAAGTCGCTATACATATGCTTTACGGATTCAAAAATGTCCTTGGTAAAACTAACGGGTATCCGACCTGGATTTAAGACACCTTAAATAGACCAATACCATTGACAAAGAGGAACTAATTATCAGAGGAATGTGCTTGTCTACCATAGAGACCACTCTAAATTTGATAGTTGAGACAAAGGTTAAATTGCACAGATATTTGTGTCTTTGTTCTATTTAATTCCAAGCAATAAATATCACAGCCTCTTTGCGTTATTAGCATTTGGAATAATTGAGTGCCAAAAAACGCCAACACTTCGTTTTCCAATTTATGATGGGGGAGATTGAGAATAAGACCTGCTGCCGTAAAAGACAATGCGCACAATTGCGATTAAAAACTGCCCTTTCAAGACCGATTTACATAACAAAATTCATTATTTTTTCTTCTGCATTAAGGTATGCTGCCTGAGAGCATGCGTGATATCGCCTCAAAAGTTACCGAAGCTCCCGGGAAACTGATCTCAGATGCACAGGAGAAGTGCACCATTTCATAGACGTAGTACAGGTTCCCAATGCGTTTTTCTTTTCTTATTATTCAACCGCCTTTTATTTAGCTCCCCACTCTCTCCTCCTCCTCGCAATATCTTTCTCATCGCATAATACTAACTATTGATTTTAGTAGAATATAGTTATAGAAAGAGGCGGTGATGTCCTTACGCGTATACAGCTGCCTTCTTCCAAACATTAGATAGTCTAATCAAAACTAGAGCGTTCTCAGCGTATTTAATCATGCAAGGCCAAGTGTTCTGCCTTTGTTTACCACCTCTCCCCTCTCCTTCGCTTTCTATTTTTTTCTGCTCCTTCCCCCCCCCCTCCCCCACCTCCCCCACAACTCA